TTGTGTGTAGTTCATTTTACTTGAGTCTGCCATGCTCTGCAGGATCCTCACATCCTCCATGTTTTCTACGGTGGCCAGGTCTGTGTATCTCTCTCTGCAGTGACTCAGAGCATCAGTCCAGTTCCTCCAGTCATAAACAAAATGGTACTGACGCTTAACATCTGAGGAGCCTGAACACAGCCCTGCAGATATAGATGTGAATACTGATTTTACATTTATGCTTAAAACAAAAGAAATCCATCTTAACTTTGTCATCATATTTTAATGTAATAATATCTACTTTTATGTGCAGTAAAATAACTCATAATTTTAATGTTTCGAGTATATAATGATTTAACAATTTGGTGCAAACGATGATTCTGTTTTCAGCAATGAAAGAGAAAAGTATTGCACAGCTAATATAATAGTTCCTAAAGGTTTCACAGTGCTGATGTTGCATTAAAGAAAAATGATAAAAACACATTAAAATACTCGCCTGATGCAGCTACGATAAACAGAAAAACCTTTTCCATACTCGTCTGCTTCGTGTTTCTTCTCCGACTGAACGTGCGACTGATCTTTCAGCTTGTCTCATGCAAAGTGATTATAGGGAAAATATTTGCATTCGACACCAGTTTGATTTGGTTCTACTGAAGCCCGTTACTGTTTAGGGGTTACTGTAACATAAGAGTGTTTATTATTCCCAGAGCTGGTAAGTTGTTATGGTGGATGATTTACCTCCAGCCTGTCTCTACTTCCTCTTCGGTCACATCAACCCTTTGCATGTCCTGTTTTCCTGCATCTATAAATATTTTCTTCTGTTCCTCTTTTCTGACCCGTTTCTCTAGAAGAAGCATTAATATGTAAATAAAAAAAGGTGCGGCACTACTGCTGCTAATATATTTTCAGCTGATTTTCACAGTGTCCCTGTGTGTATGCACATGTGTTGTGAGCCTTCGTGTTCAGTTTTGCCATCGTGTGTAACTTTGTAATTTCAGATTATCCTGTTGAATTGAGATGAGATTATTAGCTGTGAAAATTGTGAACATCACTGTTCTTTGTATGCTACTGATGACGGTCATTCCTGTATATCCATAAACTTTCCCATTGGTTGGTTTTCATCTCTGCTTTGGCTGGTTTATCTTAGGGCGACCAACCGTCCCAGGAGAACTGTGTTCCCAGGGCAGCAACTGCAGGTGAAGCTTGGGATGTGACCGGTCCATCCCCAAAGCCGAAGCCACCC